AAAAACTAGAGGAGAAATGGAGAAGCTCAGTCTCGTAAAACCTGCTCCAGTAAATCCTGCAATGGCTTTAAACTGGCAGAGGGCAGGTTTACATTAGATATTAGGAAGAAATTCTACCCTGTGAGGGTGGTGAGGCCCTGGCACAGGTTGCCCAGAGAAGCTGTGGCTGCCCCATCCCTGGAAGTGTCCAAGGCAAGGTTGGATGGGTCTCAGAGCAACCTGGTCCAGTGGAAGGTGTTCCTGCCCATGGCAGGGGGTTGGAACTGGATGGTCTTTAAGGTCCCTTCCAACCCAAACCATTGTGGGATTCTCAGCGAGGGCCCAGTTTGGTGGAGGGACCACTGGCCTGAGGAGTTGCTGCCTCCTTTGGTAATGCTGATGCAACTGTTTACAACAGACAGGGTACCCAGGAGAGAAGAAGGGAAGGAACTTCTTGTGCCTGACTGTGGTGGCAGGTGCCATACAGTGCCACACCTGGAGGCAGCACGTGGTCTTCAGGGCTGCCTCTCTGTGTTAAATGTGCTCTCAGGCACCGAGGCAGTCACCTGCTCTCCTTCCTTACCTCCCTGCCTGAAGACACAGCGTTGTAGGTGGTTACTGAGACTGCAGACATGGATACAGGGCTATGAGCCAAAAATGGGACGTATCTAGCAGCACCTGAGGAAGTTCAGTCCCTGCACTCCATCCGTGTGCATTTTAACAGGTAAACATGTAAAGTATTAAAAAGGAAACAAAACCAAGAAGGAATTCTGCACTTCATGCCTGTGTTTCTGAGTTTCCCATGAGGCTTGTAGAATTTCATTAGCTTTAACTGTGAACATGACTTTTGCTTCTTGTTCTCACCATCTGCCAGGCTTGGAAAAACTGTCTGACTCAATAACTTACTTCTGTTTCTCCTCCTTTCTGTTGTACCTGCCCCTCTTACTACGATGACTTCAGTGATATCTTTTAGACTGCAAGTCTTACCATAGAAACTATCCCAGAAGGAGAAAAAGATTGCAGAGTTGCAACACTCTGGATGTACCTCTTCTCCAGAGCGGGAGCAGATGGAAGGATGCCCATGCCCTCTGTTGCTCATCTTCATCAGGGGCTCTAAAAAAGAGGAGGAAGAGATTCTGAGCAGAGGCTTAGAGCCAAGCTGTAAAACTGCCTCATTGATAGTGGGAGGTTTGTTAGGGGATTCCGATCGTTTCCTCCTTTCTGCAGTTCATTGCAAATAATTTAGGAATATAGAGAGACATAAATGGAAAAAAAAGGTTTCCTTTCTTTAGAAAACCACAATACATTTTAGCAGAAGTTCAATAGTTTTGGGTTTTGCTGTTAGTGCTCTAAATCCTGTACCCTTGTATTAGGTAAATGTGAGCTGCTGTAACACTAAATGTATTTGTGTGTATTTATGACAAACTTACAATGTAGTTGTATTTGTAAACACAAGCTGCTTTGAACCACCACAGTCCGCTTAAAATCCAGCCCCCTGTTCTCCATTATTCCACATTGAGGTGTTCCAAGTACCTTCCTTGGGCCTGTGCTTAGTTTCCAGGTTTTTTAAGTTCTGTTCTCCGGAGGGGAAGAAGAACTAGCCCTTGGTAACCAGTGTGCACTGCAGAGACCAGGCTGCTGTACCTCTGTGGTCTCTGTGCTGTCGGAGCCCTTCCCAGGTATGTGCCCATCACCTTTCCCAGCTGTTACTCTGCAGCAGCACTTCCATGAGATGCCAACGTAAAGGGTCTTCCTGGCTCTTCTGTGTTTACGTACAATACAATTATATAATAAAATAATAATAAAAATGTCTCCCATGAAAGGAGCTGGGTGATAGGTAACCCTTTCCTCCTCCTATGTTCTGTGGGCACAGAGATGTGCGGGGATATTTGCATATGGACTCAGCATAAGGCAAAGATTTTCCTCTCTTGCCTCTGAACCCCCCAGTGCCTTTGGGCAGACTGTGCTGTTTGTCAGCCTCGCTCGTACGTGATGTTCTGCTGTGGAAAATGGTGCCTCCGTTATATTTTCCAGAGGACGTAAATTTGCCAAAACAAATGATGGGCAGAGGAACACCTGACAACTCTGGTTTGATTTTACATAACCTTTACAATATCTTCCTGCAATGCCTCCCAGATAAGGAGGTGCTGTGCCAGAAAGAGAGAATAGTTAAGGCTTCTGGTGACCTCATCTGATGACTCTCTTTTAAACAAGGCACTTGTTGATGGGTTATGAGACATGACATCAGAGTTTTCGGTTTCATGCCTGCAGCAACAATGGGAAGCATCCCACAGAGGCGAACCCCCTCGCTGTGTGGTGAGGGCAGCAGTAAGACACCACAAGTGTGAGCAATGACAGCAACAAAGCAATGGATGAGTTGGACAAGGTTGTGCGATGAGACACCAGAGTCAGAAGGGAAAATGTTTTTTAAGGTTCCTTAAACTGGCTCGAGGCTTGGCTGAGACGCAAGGGTTAGGTTTCATCTCCTATTACTTAGAGATATCGCTCTTCCTGGCATTTTTGGACAAGTGGTAACGTTTGGTTTTGCTTCCCCATCCTTCCCTGCTGTTGCACACCATCTCACCATGCTGCACCTCAGGGCAAGGCTGTGGATTTTGTGCAGCATAATCTGTACATCCTTATTCTTTGGCCATCACCTTACTTTTAAAGCTGTCTGTCACAACAGGACAGCCACAGGGCATGGAAAGGGCTGGAAGCTAAAGGCTGTCAGGCTCAGCCATAACTGGAGTTAAACACTTCCCCAGGTGAAGGAGCCAGATTGCACCAGGATATGGTTATAAGGGGAGCGTTTCAGGTGGCTCTGTCTGCTTTGCCCTCTTGCACTGAAAATGCAGGAATGGCCTGTAAAGCCGAGTTCCAGACGGCATTTCTTGTCTAAGGAGTCTTTGCTTCAAGTTTCTGCTGAAGCTTCAGCTCAGTCCAGGCATGGAGAGGAGATGCTACCTGGCAAAGAGAAACAGGTGAAAGCACTTAGTCATCTGCAATCATTTCCTTAACAAAAGGCCTTGGTGCTGTCAGCTGGTGCATAGCCTGGGGGGTATATTCTTATCTAGACTTAGGAAACCGTTTGATTTACAACTGGATGTAAGAAAGACTGGTGGCTTGCCTCATCGGCAAAGTACATTACTGGAATATATTTCCCTTAGGTTACAAACCTAAAGGATCCCACATCAGCAAGACAGAGCAGTGCCTATGTGTGTTGTTGGCTAAGCCAGTTAGGATACTGAGAGCATGGCAGACTAATGCACCAGGATCTGTAAATTCAGAGTAAAATGAAAAAAATCTGCTCTGAAAGCTCTTAGTAACACTCAGCTGGTGGAGAACTCATTTGTGCCTCTTGAGAGCAGCTGGGGTACTCCACAGAATTAGGAGATCCAAATTCACCACAGCTGAGGGGAGACACCCAGGACACGAGCCTTTGGTTATATATAGGGGCATTAAGCAGGCCTCTTCTTTTTGAGACGGGTCATGGTTTGCCTTGGTCTTCTTCAGGTTTGCCCTGAGACCTGCAGCCTTAAACCCGGGAGGTTATTTATTAAAGGAGAGCTGTGCTGTGTGCCTGCATCCCTTCTGGAGTCCCACTGGAGTACATGGTATGCATTTGATGAGTCTGTGCTAAGGATATCACATAAAAATGGTCTGTAATCCATGACCAAGCTACAGGGGTTTGGTAGAGAATTACAGTATGTGCTCTTGGCAAAGTGCTGGTTTTGGGTCAGCCAGAGAGACCAAATCGAGGTTCTTACCAACTTAGTCTTTGTTGGGTGCCTAACTAGAGCTGAGCCTCCTCCAGAACTGGGGCTTTGAGTGGCTTTTGTGATACAAATGGGGCATGTTTAAAGCCTTGCAAGCCCTGTTTGTGACTGGGAATGGGAAGCTGTTTGTTTGAGGGTATTAACTGTCTGATAGCATGCTTGGCTCTCCTCGAGGTGGCCCCAGGAGCAGGGTAGCTTGGAAATGCCACTTGCAATTAAAACCTGTATTTTTAAGTGCAGCTCTGCTGTTTGTTCATGCTGAGAAGGGTTTCCTATCTTTCAGAGTCTTTTGGTCGCTGGGCTACACTTAATAGGATGAGATTTATTATTTTTTTTTTCCCTTTCCCCCTTGAAGCACAAAGCTGCCAAGCTATCCAAGAAAGAGGCTTGTAATTAATGCTAAGTGGAGTGGAAAGCAGGGTGGCTGCTCAGCATAGGGCATGCTCTGGCCTCACAGAATGCTGGTGAAGCTCTGAAATAATTGTGGGTCTCTAGGTTTTTAATCATGGTACGTGGGAGTAGGAACTGCCTCCACTGTAGTGAAGATGTTTGGCTCCGTTGTGACTGGAATGTGAATATTGCGCTGGTGGCCATGGAAGCATCCCTTTGGGTGGATTTTTCTTTTTGGGCACTCCAGGAGAGGCTGGATTTGCTTCCCTTTAAAAGCTTTGTGGACATTACTCTGGGTTGTGACCTTGGAGTTTGGGGCTGTGATCTTCCTGATGATAACCTCTTCATCTCCCCTTGGTTTGTCCCTAAAGGGGCTGTTCCAGGGACACATTGTCTTAGATATCCCCTCCTCCTTGCACAGAGCTTTGTTGTTCCAGTAAGTGGTTTCACTTTCTGAAGTGCTGAAAGTGGCTGGTAAAGCAGCAGCTGTCTTAACCTGAGGCTTACCTGCTTTACATTTGGGGTTTTTTTCCCCCCTCACCTTCAGGTTGTTTTCTCACTGGGTTTGATGAGTAAGTGGAATGCAGTTTCCATGTCTGCTGTATGGGTTATAGACCTCACTGTGAGCAACAGGACAGGGGTTTTTGCTCAACTCTAGAAGAAATAGGGAAAGTGGTGGGAAAGTGCTTTGCCTGTGCTTTTCTAACACCTTCTGGTGTCCAAAAATCCTTAGAGAAAAATGCCTGTGACTGCTTAGAAACCCTTAGCTGGGTAACGACTGAGATCAGCACTGAGTGGCAAAAACCCCATGTGATGAGCAGGAGGAGCTACACTGGGTTTTTTAACCCGCTTCATAATGGTCCATTTCAACTCCATGGTTTTCCTTTTTGGCTTTGTGTGTCCCAATTATGTTCTGCATTTCCGTATCTGTTTGATGTCTAGACTTGTGTTGAGACTATAGCGGAGCTCTACAGTAGCAGAAACTCTGGTATCTTTGCACTGCCTTAACTTGCAGAGCTGTAGAGAATAAATACCACAGCTGTTGGCTTTGACCATTTGGTCAGCTTGCTGTTGGGAGTGGGATTTTTTGGTCCTGTAATAAATAGGCTACAGCAGAGGACCTGCTGTGTCACGTTTCTCAGTTTTAACTCCTGCTTTGTGAGCTTTTTGGTGGGTTTTTTGTTTGTTTGTTTTTGCTTTTAAAACAAAGCCCCTCAATTGTCAACCCGTGTCTGACTTAGATTTCCTGAGATTTTTTTTTTCTTTTTTGGAGGTGGCTGTATAGAGAATCAATGTATGCAATATTTTTCTCCTCCAATGTCTTCATGGATCTCCCTCTAAACTGTATGTCGGTGTTTCCCAGCTGCCTTGGTTTCTCATGCAGATGAGCCCTGCCAAACGGTTTCCTACTGCACCCTCTTAGGACAAAGGCTCAGTTGTTGTTTTCTGTTGATAAACTGGACATTTAACTGCTTCGTTTCCCCCCTACTACAGCAGAATTAGTCGGGGGCTATTTGCTCAGGCCCCAGTCCCTGGAATTGCTGGGACAATCGCTCAAGAGGTTCTGATTTAGAAACCAATGAATGTCAAGCTGAGCCTCTGAACTAAACTTTCTTTGAGATGAGCCAGAGTGACCCGCAGCGAGCTGTAAAGAAGAGTGCAATGAACCCCCCCTCCTGTTCCCTTCCCCAAAGGAAAAATATTTCCCAGACCACTGGGAACCCTCCTGACTTCCTCTCCTGTGAATTCTGGATTAGTGTGATTTGCATGCTTAAAGTTAATTCACTAGTGAACGGAGGAGGTGTCTGGGTGCTTGAATAGATTCAGCTCCTCGCTGCTGAGTGCCAAGGGCCTCCAGTGCAAACCACGGAGCGAGGGAAAGTGAGGACATGGAGGACAACTGCAGGGGTGAAGGGAGGGAGGAGGGATTGTACCATTTGTACTGAAGTGTTTGCAATTCTGCCCTCCCACAGGCCATGGCAACTGGACTGAATGTAATCTGGCCCTTTTATTTTCTTGCTTTCATTCAAGTGAGGCCATATAACAAGTGGAGAGCGAGAGGAAGGGGGGAAATGCATGAAGTATACATAATAAAGGTGATACTGCTGAAAACACTGTTTGCTGTTGAAAAATGCAGCCAAACTTGGTGTAGTGGGAATTTGAGTGTGCTCGGTCCTTGGGAGCTTTCTTCTGAAGCCATTCTTAAAAAAAAAACAAACAAAAAAAGCCCAGTCTGGTTATCCCCAGGCCTTGCTCCCTGATAAGAGCCATCTCTCATGACCAAATTAAAACGTGGGCTCCATCTTGCAGCTTGCACTTGATAAGACACGTCCATCCGCGTGTTGGGAAAGTTCCCATTTCCAATTTTTTGGTGCCTGGGAAAAGCCTCTTTTAAATTGATGGGGGAGGAAGAAAAAAAAAGAAGAAAAGTTTGAATCATTGCATGGAGTCACTGGCCCCGCTGAGGGGGCTTTCTCTCTCCTCTGAAGAACAGACCACGCACAAAGCCAGATGGTTCCCGTCTGCTGGCTTTATTCAATGCACTTCCTCCCACAGACGGGAGCCCTTTTGCCCTCCTTCCACCCCCCTCTTTCAAGCATCCACCACTGGGCCTTTCTGTTCTGCGGCTGGAAATAATCTTTTATTGCCCAGTTGTTCGGAAGTGACCTTTTGCCCTTGATTAGATAGCACCAGGCTCTATCGCCGGATTGCTTTTGAGCTGGCAGTTGCTTTTTTGTGTCCGCTGATCCGGTGTCAGGGAGAACAATGCAAGGCTTTGCAAAATTTTAGTCCGGCTAAGGCTCCATGTGGGATGGCTGGGGGTAGGGAGGAACTGCGTTGGATAAAGCAGCCTCGCGGACCATGATTAATTATATGAAAACATTTCCTTTAATAAACTGCAAAACAAATCGTGCTTTGGTTTGGTTTTTATATTCATCTCGCGCACTGATGCGAACCGCTGCGTGCTCCTTTCCAAGCCGTTAGCTCCTCATTGGAGACAGGGAGCAAAACTGCTCCTTGTTTCTCTTCCATGGGATTATTGTGCCCAGCTGTGCAGGCAGGTGAGCTGAAACCTGCCCCCAAAACCTTCCAGCTGGTGTTGAGCTGTGAAACCACTGTGTTTCACTGATGGGGTGGCCAGAAGAGTTATTTCAGGGAGATGCTCTCAGGCCCTGGTGGAAATAACTGATCTTTTTCCAAAAAGCAGCTTTGATAGCTTTAGAAACGGGAATCTTTCCAGTTACCTGTAGAAAAAAAAAAAGAGGCGGTATTTATGTAAGGTTATGGAAATTCTGTAAAATGTAATAAGGAGGAAAATAGGGTTTCTAGAGAAATTTTAACCCCCAAAACCTAGAACTGATTGTGCTTTATGCCTCACTTGACATATCCTGTATTATTTTCTATGAAATATAAAATGTGCTGCATCTATTTATGGGGGTGGGAATCTTTCCTAAATAAACAGACCTTGAGTTTTAGCCTACAACCAAATGAAACAAACCCCAAACCTACCTTTCTCCTTCAGCTTGAGCTGGACTGGCTTAGAAACAGCAGGAAAGAAGCTGGTGTCCTGTAGGTTGTTCAGTGATCCAAAAGCTAAAATTAAGGAAGTTGTTTTTTGAATTAAGTTTTCAATACGTATTCAAGACAGCTTAGTCTTCAGCAGTCTGGCAAAATAAATAAATTTTAAAAAAAGTAAATACATCTGGTTTCCAGTCCTGTAGAAGTTAAAGGAGAAAGATCACTGTTCTGCAAGGTTTTTATTCTTTGTATTTCGGTTCGAGTTTTTTATTTTATTTTTTTAAATATTTTTTTACCCTGATGGAGCTTTTCTTTGGGATTCTATCACTACCCAGTTTTGGAGGAATTGTCTACAGCGGATAATTTGTTGGTTACCACAATCCCTTTGTTAGTAGTGGGCACTACACTGCTCCCTTGAATAGTAACCTTTAAAAAATTATGTATTAGCTCTCTTGGACTCAGTGATTCATCAGCAGCTTTTTAATTCTGTCAAGGCCACCCCTTCATCTGGTAAATAACACGAATGTCTGTGGTGTGGATTGGACGTGCTCCGCGTCACGAAGGCAGCTTGTGAGCTCTGTTCCCTGTCTGACGGGGCTGCAGCTGCTGGAAACCTGGGCCCAGAGAGGAATGTTGCCAAGCCAAGGTGACAGCAGGGAGCTGGGGCAGGTGCCTCTCCCTGGGTCCTACCCGCTCTCAGGCCAATCTGCTACAGCAGCCTGTTGGTTTCATCGTTGTTAGATGTCATAGGACTTCTCTGTGAGGAAGAGTTTGCTTATGATTCTTAATTAATTCCATGCATTTTCCCTTGCACACCCAGTTTATCCATAAAGTGTTATTTTTAGACAGTAAGAAATACTGAAATATTTGTACAGTTTCAGTTGCACTTCTTGGAAGACTTGTCAGGACAGCTGGGAAGCAGAGGTTGTGTCACCTGTAGCTCTCAAGGCTACAAGAACTATTCAATTAACACAAGCTGTGTTAATTGAACCCAGATCTGTACCCATATCTTTTGGTGGTATTCAGAGTAATGACTGCTGCTCTGTCTTCTCCCCTATGCCAAAGTTATTGCTATTATAAGGAATTTACATCTTTAAATATTTTAGGTTGGAAGGAACTTTAAAGCAGTAGTTCCAGCCTAAATTGCTTTTATACAGTTTCTAATTCGTGTGAGTTCAGGATACTTTTTTTAATGAGAATTGATGAAGAACAGCTATAGGAAAATTCATATCAGCAAATTTATTTTAATTCTTTCCACTTGTCAAATCTCTCATGTGGGTTCAGTGATGGCAGTTACTCAGTCAGGTTTGAAAGCTGTCAGTAATAGCAGAAGAAACTCCAGAGTAACTCATGATTTTTTATCAAGTGGAAAAAACATAACCCAGTATAAGGCAAAGTAGTATATCTGTTCTCATTGTCCTGCGTAGGAACCCACATATGTGTAACAGGGCTATTTCCACTCGCTAATGTCTCTGCTGATGTTACCCAATAAGATGCCCACGACTGTCAGCAATGCTGTTTTCAACTTCTGTGCGTGTTTTCAGATTTTTTTCCGCAGATAGTGACACCTCTTTGCCCACTGACTACATCTTGTGGGCTGGGCTGCAGCCCACGGCAGCTCTTACCCCGTGCCATACGCACATCAGGAGGCTTAAGTGTATGTCAACACTTGTGGCTGTGGTGTCGTAGGACAGAGACAGGCAAGTCAGCTGAAACTTCTACAAGCCAACCACAGCAGTGTGGGCTTTGATGTGGGCTACCTTAGCCGGCTTCTCCCTGTCACGTCTGTGATAACGTGCTCACAGAGGAAGTCATGCTCTAAAACACATCAAGTGGTCGTTTCATGACCTTAAATCAAGGGTGTTATCATCCACAGGTTTCTCTTGGACTAAAGCTTGATCTTCCCCATCCTCTTTGGGGGGCGGGGGGGTGGATTCCTTATCAAGGTTGTGAGCTGCTCCTCCTCCTTGGTTAGAGAGGGCACCTGGAAAATTCCTTGTGCTAAGGCCGAAATTGCTCGGCTTGGCTGCTTATCCTTGGCTTGTTCCTACTGGGTCCAAGCACGCTTTCAGCTCGCAACACGAGAAAGGACAAGGGGGAATGGTTTTAAAATGAAAGAAGGTGGGTTTAGATTGGACATAAGAAAGAAATTCTTCCCTATGAGGGTGGTGAGGCCCTGGCACATGTTGCCCAGAGAAGCTGTGGATATCACTCCCATCCCTGGAAGTGTCCAAGGCCAGGTTGGATGGGGCTTTGAGAACCCTGGTCTAGTGGAAGGTGTCCCTGCCCATGGTGGGGGAGGGTGGAATTAGATGGTCTTTGAGGTCCTTCCCAACCCAAGCCATTCTGTGATTCAGTCCTGCCAGCTCTAGCCTAGAGTGGCTTTAACTGAAGCAATATACAATATGCAATTATCCTGCAGAGAGGAAAAGGGGATGGAGCTAACTGGGAAGACTGGTTTGACTTATTTAAATTCTACAGGGTTTAATACACTTTTGCTTCCTTGATAGTTGTTTGAATTCTTTTTTTTTTTTTTTTTTTACTACTCACAGGAGACTGAATATTGGAGCTAGTTTTTGCTTGCTCACACTGTTTTGTCCTGAACAATCTTTGAAAGCTTTTTTTCTTTTGCCATATTAGATCTGCCTAAATAAGTTGCCTTGGAAAATTAATGAAGCATTAAGATGCTGAAAAACTGGGTTGCATACAGGAGAAACTTTAGATACCTGAAGTCATTTCAGGAGTTTCAGGATATGTGTGCATATGGTGGGAGACGGGAAATGAGTTAATTTTCTATATTCCTAACTTGTTCCTTTCTTCTCCAGCGCTGTTTGCCTGGGAAAACAATGATTGCCTTTCAGTCTTTTCTTCCCTTTCAAAGAACTAGGATTTAGTCAATGGGACTATTTACATGCAAAACGTGAAGCATATGCATAAGTGCTTGCAGGACTGTGGCCTTTCATTGTCACTAAAGCATCTCTGCTTTCCGGTGGCAGATGAACTTGTCATTTTAAAAGTCGTAATAAACAAAATTGAGTCATTGCGAGCAGGTAATTAGCCTTAAGAAAAATAAACAAGCTCTAAGCAGTTTAAGAAATGTTTTCCCCACCCCCTAGCTGGGGAAAATGAGGCACTGCCCTCTGAAATGATGTTAAAGTGCAGGAATAAACGTATTGAAATATAACTGGTGATGACGGTAAGCGGGGTAGAATCTGCTCTTGATTGTGTTGAAAGTAAAACTTTGAATAAGACGCTGACAGCACTGGATTTTCTCTACTCAGTTTATATTTAGGTTTGACTTATCTTCCTGCCTGTACTGGAAGACGTGCAGATACCACAGCGGTCCTCTGATGGTTTGCTGAGCAGTGTAGTCTGCTGTGTAAAACAACAACAAAAGCAGGACAACCTAAATACCCCCCCCTCCCCGCCCTGCTATCGTTCCGCCTGGTATCTTTAATTTGGGTAAATTAAAACAAAATTAAAGCACTTGTTTTCTGTCTAATTTGGTGACTACAGAAGACAACTGCGACAGGAAACTTGCTTATCAAGATATGTCGTGGAAATAGCTGTAAATGTGAGATGATGTCACAGTGATTGTGCTCTGTTAAGGCTCCTTCAGGTGAGAAAAGCTTTGTTGTAAAACTATTTTCCATGTAATCTTCATGTTGTGAGTACCCTACTTGAATTGCGCTGGGATCCAATTCCAAAAATTCATGCTTTCGTTGGGTGTGCAGCTAGGATTTTACAGTGTGTAAATATTCAAGCCTGAGGTAGGCTATAAAAATCACTGGCTTCCCAGATGACTTCTCTCTGCCTCTATCACCTCCCACCCCCACTGCAATAACCAAAACCATTCAAAATAAAGCCCAGAGATCACTATGCTCCTTACTACGAGCAAGGACTCTATGTCCTATTCCTTGTACAGCACTGAGCACTTTGAAAACTAAACAAATAACAACCCTATCAAAATAAACCAATTTAAAATGGTAGCAAATAAAAAGAGGAATACAATCATGTGCTCCTTTGCCTGACTAATGTTTCTATGTGCTCAGCCCTTGGTGTTATTGCCTTTATGAGATTTACATAAATTAGTCATCACATTTTATCATTTTCCTTTTACATATGTATGGCTGTTAGATACGTGTGAAAAAATGTCATGAGTATCAGAGGTCTATTTGCATTAGAATTTCCAGTGGAAATGTCAAGTATGACCTTTCTCTTGTCCGGGTGGCTAATCCCATTTGAAATTCCTGCCATGCTCCTAGGGAGGGTCACTGCGCTTGTGAATTCAAGCACAGCACCTGCTGCAGCCTCCGCTCCTCCTCTTCCTCCCTGAGCTCAGATGACAGAGCTGGCAGCCTGCAGGGCCGGGCTGATGCTCTGCCTGGCTGCGGTTCACTGCAATCTCTACTCCCCAGTTATGGGACTAAAATGCTTTGTTATGGATTTTTTTTTTCTTGACATGTTGTTTCTGGAGCGCCTAAAGAACATAAAGGAAAGGTGCAGCAGACATTAATGGTGACTGCTTACTTTTGAAATAGAGGAATAGCAATTTGGAAATTTTAGAGCAGAAAAGTAAGACTTTTTCATATTAAAAGAAAAAAGCAAGAATAAAGTCATGTCCGGGTTCATGATTCCTCCTGGATTATTGGATAAGAGATCCACCTGTCATGATGAGTGACTTAAGTCTTCCCTTGTGGCAAATCAACCTGGAGGCTGCAAGCAGGTGCAAATATATTGGCAGGACATCTAAATGTAATAAACTACCCCTGCTTTGCCACTACATTGGTCTGTTGACAATTTCTCATTACAGGAAATGCTTTTTGATATTAAGAGAAAACCTGCTCTTGGGTTAAAATGTCTATTTCTATCACAGTGACTTTTTAATCCTCTTGTATGCTGAGGGGATTTGGAAGCAAAATTTCCTGCAGTCTACGAGAGAATAACTTTTATAACCTTGCTTATCTCTAATTAAATTTTATTATTTTGTAGATGTTAGTTTATTTAAATATTTAGTTTGGGAAATAACCATCACAGATTAAGTTCTTGGTTCCTGTGGTCATGTGGTTATTATCAGTTTATGGCTCCTTTCTGAACCAGCCCTCAGTCAAATAATTTTCTATCAGACTGGAGCTGTATTGGCAAGAACAAGAACCACTGGTGCCTTTGTAATCAGTTCCTGACATTAGAGATAGTACGGCCAGTTCCTGGGCCTCCTTGATCTTATATAAAGTTTGATTAAAGCACAAAGCCAAGTGAGTGGGAATGCCAAACTTGCTCCTAACTCTGCTGCCAGATTGCTGCATGAGCTGTAGCAAACAACCCATTTATAATCCTTAAACTTTGCGCCCACATATGAATTGAAAAAAAATACCCTGTAATGTGTGGAGGAGGCTTGGTGAATGAAGATTCTTAGGAAAAAAAATTAACTTTGGTAAATAAAATTCCATAGTAGCTTGTGTAATACTGTTGGGAACTTACAGCCCTCTCCTGCTCCTGGTTTAGACCTCCTGGCCTGGGTGGGGACCTACTACCCATGGGATGCTGTAAACAGTTTAGGTCCACGGGGAGCCTACCTGTTCCTGTGACTCATGAACAGCTTCCCATCCGTGGTTTACATTGCACTGTAGTGTGTAAAACCACTTAAACTAGTGCATGACAGCAGGATGTTAACTCTGGATGACAAAACTGGCCACCATGCCAACTGAATTATTTCCCTTTCTTTTCAGTCTAAGAGGATCCCTTTCCCGCAACATCTGATTGAGATTGGTCCCAATGCCTTTATTGTTCCTGAAGTATAAGCGTATGTCTTACAGCAAGTGTTCTGGTGGGTGATTGGCATTCTCTTAGAGCATAACCTTCAGTGCTTTTCCTGAGGAAGTGAGCTGTACTGACAAATGAAGCATGTTTATCTGTTGAATAGAAAAAATACAAATAAGAAATGTATTTAACTGGGAGGTGACTCAGTATGTGACAGGTGGGATGCTGGTTACATATTTTCCTTAAGGAGTGGTGAAAGATGACGGGAACAAATCTGTCATGTCCTCCCAGGGTGTGTATGTGGGCACTGTGAATCAATATATTACAAACACAGAGATCATGGGGGGCGGTTTTAAATTCAGTGCTTCTAAATCACTGGGGGCTAAAGCTTTAGGGCAGCCACCTGCCCTAAAGCACTTTGCTGAAACGCTCCCCGTGGGTTTCAGTGAAGTTACTTTTGGCTGATGTCTAAGCAAGTGCAGTCAAGACTAAGTCCACTGAGAGCAGGGCAGAGATTCCTTTGTGAAAGGTCTTGTTTCATCATGCTCCATGTGTTTATCTGAAAACAGAACGTATTCTTGAAATGACTAGTTATTGTCTACTGACATTTTCTCAGTAAAGAGCACTGCTTGCCTCCCTGAGGAGCAGTAGGGCCTGCTGCCAGTACAGCACCTGGAGGGAAGTCTGAGAAGACTGTGGACATGGCAGTTCCCCTTCTGTCTTTCTGAAAGTCTGGATGTGACATAATCTGCAATTTGTACCATCAGCTAGACAGGCCAACAAACGCCATAGGTGTGTGTACTGGGCAAAAACCAGCTCATTAAAACTTTGAGATACATATATATTTTTTTAATAGGAATCTTTGTATGTCACTGTTAGTTTGTCAGGCCTTTCTGTGGCTTTTTGCTACTGAAACAGAAGAGGAAGGGATCCCCCAAGGCATGAAAGCAGAGTTTACCCTATCTAGGCAGTAGTGGCAGTGGCTCCTGTCCCGTTCTCTTCCCATTAGACTCCCTAATAACCACTCCTGGTGCCCCACATCACTCTTACAAGAGGAATCTGACATGGATGAAGGCAGGGATGATTGCTGTACTGCCATGAGCCCCTTAGCAAACTTGTCTTTTTGCTGCCTGGTCATTTCTATGAGCTCTTAGGAGTATTCCCCATGTTGGACAGATGGCTTCAGCCAACTGGGCTCACGGGAAGTGTTCTCATGTCCTCAAATCTTCCCGCAAGTCTAGCTTTTCCTTTAACACAGAGCCTGCTTCCTTATATAGGAAGTTGCACTTAAAAGTGCAACCTCCTGTGAAGATTTAGGAGCCTCTCCAGGCTGCTGTATCTCTTCCAGGCACAGTGCTGATACAAACAGGCTGGGTTTTTGATGCTGTGGAGACCTTACAAGGTAGTGCCCAGAGCCTCTGTAATAAAACCTTTCTATTTATTAGTGGCTTTTGTAGCTTTCACACGCTACGATCCTGCTGAAAACAGCCTTTCTCCAACAACACTATTTCCAATGGCTTCACCTACTTGGGTTAAAAGTTCAAGTCAGATCAGAAATATTCTTTAGTGCTGCATTACTAACAAAAGCTTCGTGATATATCAGTTAAATGGCACAGGCGTGACATGATGTGATTATACTTAAGGAAAATAGAGGACAAATAGGGTCATAAACAATTTTTATAGTACTAGGAGTGGGAAGAGAGAACTTAACATTCTAAGGCACGCTATTACATTTGAGCTACGTTTTCCTCTCCTTGATTTTTTTTTTTTAATATATATAGCATTTCTGAAGAAATAAGAGAACTAGTTATGGGGTTTGCTTTTGTGTCCGGGCTACCATCAGGCTTCCTCATGCAGCTGAAAATCGATTTACCTCTACACTAGCAGAGGGGCTGAGCATCAGATATCACTGATGGCTCTGGTAACCTGCTAGGTGTGACCTGTATCAACGCAGCTTGAGTGGAATTGAGGTGCAGTCCAATGCCTTCATGACTCAGTGGGATAAACAGGAGCTAATTAATTGTCATGCTGCCTTGTGAGGTCACTCTCAACTTAGGGAAAAAACTCCACAGTTCTGACCTCATATAGGTTAAGTGCCAATCTGTTCATTCCACCCGCGTTCAGAATTTAGGTCCAAAGTTGCCCCCAACACACGATGTTTGACAAATGCTGCTTAAGTACTAGATAAAATAAATAAGTGATTGCATGACAAGTAGGTTTTTTTTTTTAAATTTCTGTATTTCAAACATATGTGGTTAAGCTTATCAGATTTCTAAAAATGAACGTACTATAAAAATCGCACTAGGCCCCTCAGCTGTGTTTTCCTCTATTATTTATAGACAAATTGAAAACAAATGGTCTTCTCTTTTTCAAAAACAAAAAGCACAATGAAATGGAAACAGCTGTCAGAATGTGCTTTTCCTCCCAAAGTCATCTGCAATACAAACTAAATGAGAGATTATTTCCTTTAATCTGAAGTGCATTGCCATTTAATGGTGGTTTCGGTGGCAATTCCAGTGGAAGCTGAAGGGAAAAGTGTCAAGACTGTTGCAATGAGAGAGATCTTAAAGCCCCCTTTCTTGACCATGCCACATCTTTAAAGGCTTGTGTTTTGCATGGAGAGAAAGAGATCAAGAATTCAACCTATTTAGCTTATCACAAAGAAAGGTTGAGGAGCGACTTGATTGCAGCACTTAAACACCTTTGTGGAGAGGAAATCTGTACTAAAGGGCTCTGTAATTTAGCAGGATAAGTCACAAGACTGAACTTGAAACCAGAAATCTCAGAGTACAGGCATGTATCTTTAGCAGTGACGTTTAATAACCATTATAATAAACTACCAAGCAAAGTGATGAATTCCCCAGCTCTTGATTTACGCAGCCCTACTTGGAAGCAATGTTTAAACCAAACGCAAGCTGCAGGGATGAGCAGAGAGGTAACAGCAATTAAATGGCCTCTTGTACAGAAGACTACGGGATCTTAGGTGGCACAATAGTTAAACTTCATGAATGCATGAAATAAAGTGGTTCTCTTGCTGGGCTCACCCATTCCAATAACAGAGAGCAGCCTGAATCTGCTGCAGAGATCACCTCACACAGAGAACAGAACCACAGAGGAGCAAAGTGTGACATCATCCTTAGAAATAACTACATGGCAATGGCAAGTGTTATATAACTCCTCACTGTATCACGAGACTACTGGAATTCTTCCGGGTTTAGATCCTGTTGGAAAAGATCCAGTTTGAGCTTTTATTTCTATCCAGACTCCAAACTCAGATATTCCAACTTGTATTAGCAAGCAAAGTCATATTTTATTTGTATAGGAAAGAAAACTGCTAATTTTTACGATAGTTATCTTTTATGAAATAAGTGCACAAACTTTTATAAAACAAGCATACATATAAAATCTCAGGCACCAGATGAACTAATTTGCTTGAGTTACTGGAGTGTCTTTTTTGCCTCCAGACAATCTTCTGTGAGCCTACTAAGAACAGTGACTCTATGTAAGTGAGCAAAAGGTAGTAAAATAGAGTTTACAATGGGAGGGGCAAGAAATCAAGATGATGAATGAATGCTTTGATAGTGTAGAACATCGTTAAATTTCTGAAAGCTGAAACAAGGGCAATAGGAAAAAAAAAGCCACCCTATAACCTTTGATTTTAAACTAAAGCGTGTGTTGCTTGCAAGATGTCTCTATTTCTGAGTTTTGGAGGCTTCAGAAAGAGTTGACTGAAAGCCTTCTGCTGATTCAATTGCATTTTGCGTGCTTCATAGTCTTTCCTTGTTACTGTGCTTCTGTTTCTCCAGTGTCCAGCTTTTCATTCCATCCCCAAGTAGCACCACGTGTAATCAGTATAAGTCCAAGTAGCTCTATGAAGGCAGGTGACTGTACGAAGAACTCTGACATCCTCTTACACTGTTGTTAATTTAAAAAAAAAGAATTTACTTATTTTAGGTGGCCATTGCCTTCTTGTCTGCTGCATTGTCCAGGGTTACTGTCATGGACAAGCTTATGGCCAAAAGGAACTCTTGTTCTGATAATGTATGGCAAATCTTATTTTCCTTACAAGAAAAAAGGATCCAAATTAGAATTGGTTAGGAACTAGAATCCCTTATCTAGCAAAGGTATTTTGCCACCCCTTCTATTTAATTTTTTAATCTTGCCAGCAATACCACAGAGTTAATAGCAATGACTGAAGAAAAATATCCATTAGCACAGTGCTACTGTGTGGTATGCACTCCATAGCCATTACTTTCAGAAATCACTTAGTTTAGGGCACTTTCTTATGACTTTTCTCTCAAACACACCCTATTAACAATGCACTTTGTCTCTGACTGTATTGCAGCTGATGATAAACAGATGGATCTCAGTCACTGGATGAATATGAGAAAGCTGTTGGAGCATGGTATGGTTTGTATTCACATCCAGCTGCCTCAGGCTTCTGTCCTCTTGAAACCCTGCGAAACAGCAAAGGCTTCTAATTAGAGTGAGGGTGAGGGTCTCTTTCTGGCCATTTATCACTTTCTTAGGCAGGGCTTCCATGGATTTGCAAGAGGGAAAATGCACGATGCTGTCAAAACAGCATCTTCTTCAGAGTGACCTGGAGAAAAATGGGGTTTGTGTGAAACAAACACATAAGTTTGTTATGTGGGTGGGGAAGGGAAAAGAAGTAAGAAAGATGGTGAAAATCGCTGATATCTCACATAAAACAGCTCCTGACATACTAATTGGTTTGAAATGATGCTGTGAGTCACTGGGGACATAAACCAATATCACAGGCTTCAACAGTGGACATTATGCAACACTAAGTGATGATCTCTGGATGTTTGAATTGTGGTTTGGGGGTTTTTTTAGGGCTGTTTGCTTCCATAATAAAACTTCCTTTTGTGGCAATAAGGTCTAATGCTGCACACAGTGCTACTCTGGGTATGAGATTTTATCTGTGTGAAGTTGAGTGGTCCGAGGTGATTATAAGTCTACTAAAATCTGTTGGAAAAACATTTTCATGTGGCCAATGCCTTGTGAGGCTGAAATGGAGCGCTGGCAGTGCGTAGGTGTGCCGGACCAGCTGCCAGCCTCTTAGATTTTCTTTTTTTTTTAAATCCCAGTTCTTAGAAAATGATGACAACACTAAAGATATTGATATCGAGATAATAGAAAATGGAGACACTGTCTGCATTTTGCTAATTCTTTGCCCACTTTCTGTCTGGAGGTCTGAGCTCATCTCGTGCGGGGAGTGCCCCTCGCTTTGAGGCGAAAGCAGAGGTGATGAGGGGAAGGTGGAGATAATACACGTTTTTCTCCCCTCACACCTCCTCTTTCAGGGCACCATAAGGGGGAGGGAGGGCGATGGTGCCAGGCATTGACTCCATTTGCATCTCAATGGCAGCTGCCCCGGTGTGTCCCCTCACGGCGCCTACCCGGGTCAAGGCTGTGAGGGGGGACAGGAAATGGCGGCGCCTCTTTCCCCCATTGAGCTGCCTCGGGCGCCCGCCCAGCCTGAGGTCACCCAGAGCCGGCCAGGCGGTGCTGAAGCCCGCTGTGAAAATGGCTGGAATTGGGCTTTATCCAGCAGCCTTTTGCTCCAGGACTGGCCTAGGAGGCAGGCAATTCAGGCGTGGAAAGCCCTGCGTGCCTGGTTGCAGCTTTGTCTCAGCGCTGCCATGAAGGTGTAGGTGTCGCGCTGCCCCCAGGCTGAAGGGCTGAGGTGATGTGCGGAGCCTCCCTAGCTGTCCCCGTGGGGAGGATGGTGCCCCAGACTTTGCCTATGTATTTACAGCTGTGTGATGTGCCAGAAGGCTTGGTCACCGTTTTGCGGCAAGTTAATAAGGTTTTCTACCTGCCTTGAGACAGCCTCCTAAGAAGGAGAGGAAAGAGGCTGCCTCAGGCTCCTGGAGCTTTCCCTATCCTCACAAAGCTGCCCTGCTGGGCTCTTTCCGCTCCCAGCCGTGCTGATAACCCTCACCTCCCTGACAGCAAATAAACCCTGCGGTTCCCCAAACGTTGGGACACATCCTGCAATTCCGCCTGGAACGGGGTCAGTCAACTGTCAGTGAGTGACCCATTTTTCCAGCTGCTGCCAAGTGCGTTTAGCCGAGGCAGCCAGGCTTCGAGCGGCGTCCCTCCCCCAAAAAGTGTTGATGTGTGAAAAGAAAATAGGAGTTTTAGTAGTAAAAATATTTGAAAACCAAAAGGAGGCTGAGGTGGGTACTAAAAAGTCACCGTAAAATCAGAAAACCTAGTTCTGGAATAAATGCGTGTATTTTTGTTTGCCATAGGGACCGTCACAGTTCAGAGAATTTTAGAGGGACATTTTTAAAATACTCAAGACTGATTCTAGTGGAGGGAAGGGGTGAGCAGCTATTTGAAATGAGGCTCTTGCAGTGTCCATGAAAATCAGATGTTTGTTCTGTTTTAGTTTTACCTCATCTGGATTGTAGATTTCCCGGAGACTTGGATACATTTGTGCATGAAGGACATCCATCTCAACAAAATGTGTTATTGCTCCATACAGGAAGGAGGACCTGTTGTTTCCATGTAGGTTTCTTTCCCTTTCTCTTTTATATCTTATTGCTCTCTCAGACAAGCTCCAGATGGTCACTTTTGCGATGATTTCGCCAATGTCTTTTGAGCTGTTTTTGGAAAGTGACTGGAAAACCTTAAAATATTTTTCTCACCTTGAGGGTGGTGTGCTTCTAACATATGGATTGGGACTGAATGTTTTCAAACACAGGCTAAATAGATTGTTTATTTCTACTGAACCATTAGAAATAATCTAAAGACCTGCTTGGAGTATATTTTGTACATGAGTTAAAATAATTTGTAAATAGTTTTTCAAAAAATGATGCTTATAATTTTTTAGGTGTGAGAAATATCTGTTATTATTTGATCTTTCCCCTTAGTAATGGAAAGTATTCATATCTATATAAAAAACTGATATTGATATCAATATATATATAAATCTCATACACATCTCCCAATTTGTTCCTCTTACTTGGATAACAATACTTTTACATTATGTTCTTGTGTGTTACAGTAATTTCTCCCTTCCACCTTGGGAGTAAAAAAAAAAAATCACCTGCACATCTGTCCCCACTCTCATAATAATAAAACTTTTATGCTCCGGTGAATATTTTATCTCCAAGCACTGACACCAAAGTCCTCCGATGGGGCTGCACAGAGAGTTTAAAAGTAGGATGCCCTGTGGCAGTTAATCATAGCTAATGCAGAGCTCAGGAGGAAGGGGAAATGATTTTATGACTGTAAATGGAAAAAGGACAAATAAACAGGGCTGGGAAGAGGAGCTGCCGTGTGCAGGGGAGCCTCAGGCTTTTGGCGTGGTTGCAGGAAATGGGCTCTTTGCATCAGGAGGGGTGCCCACAAATGCACTCAGGGCTTTCAGAGATGTATTTAGGTCACTGACACTTTGAAAGCTTTATACTTTTTGAGTCTAGGGGCTGTGACAAAGGCCTGTAAACTCAGAGTGAAGGCTAGCATCCATCCGTGGCTGGCCTTATTGTATCCCCAGGAATTTCGGATCAATGAAGGATGTTGGCAATTATGTGCTGAAATAACTAAGTACAATGGGATGAGGTAAGGAAAGCGACTCAGCCTTGAATTTGAATTTCTTTTGGTTTCTGTCAGTTTGTGCCAACACCCCTCGCAATGCGTAGTGAGTCTCTGGGGCTGCCCTATATTGTTCAGTACAGGAAATTTGAGAGACACAAGTTCAGCAGCAAATGTCAAAAGTTGCATGTGTGGATGCAATCTTTTCCCTGGTGTATGGGGCAGTTTTGCTGCTGGGCTTGTGAAGATATTTTGTGGATGAGATGCTGGTTTCTCTCTTTTGGCACAAAATCTTTTATAGCAGGTGTTGTTCTGGTTTTTAAGGTTGAGAAGAAGTAGCCGTGATGTCACTTGACTTCCTGCAAAGCTCCAACCCCCAGCGTGCTGTGAAGAAAGTCCTGTGTGCCGCCTCATGCTCCGCTTGTTCCCTGTGGTTCTTTCCGCTTGTAATTCCCAAAGGGCCAAACCCAGGGTTGTATGCCTGACCCCCGTATCCAGGCCACTGGGCAGACTGAAGCAAGGAGGAGGAATTCCTTTGAAGTTGTGGAGCTGCTCCCCAGTAGCTGACTTGAGCCCAGTGGTGGGTGCAGTGTCCCATGGTCCTCACGCCGCCTCCCTGAAAGGGATCTGATTCCCACTGTTCCCTGCAGCTCAACCATATCAGTTCCACTGCAGTGCAGCCTTCTCCCATTGCTGAGTAGTGGGCTGAGCCTGGCTCTGAGCTACCTCAGGATGACAGACACTCACAGAAAACCCCATAACAAACTTCCTTTCTTAGAAGCCAAAACACACGCTAGGAGAGCCCAGAGTCTCTGACTTCCAGTTAGGGCAGTTAATCAAAACATTTGCCATGTATTGTGTGAGCTCCTTCACAGTTTGTGCATTTATCTTTTAAACATCTGCGGAACAGCATGGCTTGGATAGGTTTCTGTTACTACTCTGAGCCTTCATTGGCTTTCAAGAATGAGTGAAGAGGAGCCAGACAACATAAAGGGCAGGCAATCAAAGCTTTTGACTCTTAGATCCTCGCAGATGGGCCTCCTGATGAAATGACTAACAACTGTTGCCAGATCAGCAAGTAGCAACCACAAGGCACCTGTATTTATTTAACTTTCATTTTACCAGATAACTTGTCTTTATGCTCTTGGAGTTTTAAGTATGGATTATAAGTCACGAGGCTTCCTTCAGATCTCCCTAGCACAAGTGTAAAATGAGTCACTTGAGATTGGTTGGTGATAAGAGTTCTTCTACTGTACAAGAAGTAGATGCAAAGGCAGGATCAGGCCAAGGTGCAGATCATGGGTCCAGTGTCTAGTTTGTTTGAAACATCTTTATTGCCCGCCTCTGGGGTGAAGTCTTCAATGGGCACACACTAAAGGGAGGTGTAAGGTTTCTAGCAGCAGCCTTTGGTTATCATTAAAATAAATAAATAAATAAAAAACAGTGACCTCCTTTTTCTTTTCTGAATGGCTCTGCATCTTGTGAATTCCACTGTGCAAAAGGAGACTATCTGCATCCAGGGCCCCCCAGCTCCTTCAGTTCTGCCTGGGTGAGACTCGAGGTGGGGGGCAGCCAGCTTCCCTGACCTTGAAAGCTGCCTGCCAAAACTGAGATGTTGCCAGATGCCTCAGGCTACAAACCTCGCACCTCAGAGCACCAGTTCCAGCAATGACTCGCAGGTGGTGTTGCCAGCAGCTCCACAGGAGCTTTGTTGCTCTGGCCATTATGGAAAGGAACAAAGCTGAGTATGTGGCCGTGCCCCAGGATGACCCAGTGGTGTTGGCTTCAGTGGCTCCTGCTGTCTTGCAGCCTTTCACAGGCACCGACTCTGATTGTCCAGTCACTCCGGTGCCAATCCAGCCCTGCTGCCAGACACTTCGGTGTAGCCCTGGCACGTGAAGTCCACTGCTTGCTCATGAGCAATATGAGGTTTGCCTGTTCCCCTGCCTTCCCTGAAGGCAAATATCAAAAATGTGCCATGCTGAATATTGGATATATGTTGGATATTCTATCCGGGCAGGTTAGAACACACTTTGTGGCTCTGATTGCTACTGGTTTTGGGTGCTGTGAAGGGGCCCATGGTGGGTGCTCGGCTGTTCCTGGAAAGCAGTCAGCTCCTCTGTTCCTGGAGTCAGATATCTGAACAACGACAAATGCCAAATCCGTAATTATTTCTGTATGTACCATTCTCCAGTTTTATAGCTGATGCTTTGCCTGTGTGCTTTTGGTCACTAGTGGCTTTTGTTCAGCAAATAACATCCTGCTCATATGTGTGGTAGGGCCTGTTGACATAGGATAAAGTCACAAAGTGAACATGCTCAAGTGTTAAGAAGCAATGTTGCAGCACTACTATGAGACTTGGCCCATGGGTTTTAGCAATCTGTGCAGCTGTGCCTGTATTTAGGGATATGCTTTGGTGTCTGAATGAGCACATGTATTCTCTTTCTGATAGTGGAAACTAGTTAGAACATTGAGTTCTGCCAAATTCAATCATATGTTTATTTTTTTTTTTTTTATGTCTACAACAAGATCTGATAGTTTAAAAGGCTTTCACGTGACTCTTGCTGGGGATGGTTTTCTTTGGTCACTTCTGTCTAGCTCTCTTCTGATTCCAAATATGATGAAGAGGAAATGTAGCTGACTTAAGTACTTCAAGCTAGTGAAATTAGACCAGATTGATTAAGAGCATGTGTGGCAAGCACAGCACTTGGAAGCCAACCTGCTGTTCCTCCCGAGAAATATTCTTACTGAGGGACTTGAAATTCAGATCGATCCCAAGTTTTCAGTATCAGGATTATTTAAATATTCAGCTCTGCCTTATTGCTAACTTTAGGCTATAGGGTGTGATCTGTCTTCATGTTAAGTAAAGCTTTCTTTGCAAGGAATTTTGCCGAAAGAAGTGAAATTGAGTGGAGCCGGGGGAAGCT